ATCTCCGATATCAGTCTTTTACTATAAGAAGGCTCTATATCTAAAATTTTGACGTTATCCCATTTAAAATTATGATTATATTTCAATCTATGATCAGTTACTACAGAAGGGGATTTTGAGCTTTTATTAATATCAGAGACATGCTCATATAATCTAGTTTTTAATTGCCTCTTCGTTTGTCCCACGTAACTGGCATCACAATTTTCACAAGAAATTTTATATACAACATTTTGATTGTGTATATGATCTAACTTGTCTTTACCTCTTTTAATGTAATTTTTAAGTGTATTTGGAATAGTATAAGCTATCTTACAATGGAACATATTTGTTCCATTGTAAATAGGTATCAATTTCTCAGAAACATTATTAACATAAGGAATAGTAAAAAATTTTTTTGGAATATTATTATTAGTATTAGTATTTGTATTGTTAATATGGAATTTAATTCTATTATTAATTGTAGTAAATATAAACTTTAGGGGATATCCGTTTTGTAAAAATGTATTGATAGCCTCTATCATATTATTATGTTGAAAAGTTGGATGACACAATCGTAAAATCTTGTCGACAACATCATAAACTACACCTCTCTTATGACACATAGGATGGTTTGAATGGAAATTGAAGTATCTACCAGAAAAAGTGGCTTTTCGATAGTAATCAAAAATCAAACAATTCTCTTTTATAATGATCGTAGTATCTAAAAAACTTATTTTACCTTCTGTGCCAATTTCTATAGTGAACTGTATTCGATCATGTAAAGAATTAAAAATATTTAAGATGTAATCAATACTCTCAGAAGGAACCACTAAAATAATATCATCCACATAGCGATAATAGAACAATGGATGATATGGTAGTAAACCAATTGCAAATTGTTCAAGGTCCTGCATGACTATATCAGCCACCACTGGCGACAAAGGAGATTCCATAGGAGTTCCGAATATTTGTTTATAGTATTTATTGTTACGTCCAAGCTTCGATTCCGGGAGGATCTACGGAAGGGCGCAACGAACTCTGCCCGAGATTCGGTCACGCTCGATCCCCAATTTTCGGAAGGGGGCAACGGAGGAGCGTCACCGAGTTCGGGCTCTCGCAGGTACACACCGTGGAGTGTCCTGCGAGTCGATCGTACCTTTAAATGCTCCGGAAAATGGGTCAGTGTCTCGAAAGAGACACTATGACGCCTTTTCCCGTGAGTGGTCACGATCGTTGGTCCTTTAATTTAGGTCAGGGAACTTAATCCCTATGACCAGGGAGTGGACCTGTGCGATCTAACGAGTTAACGGGAAATGAGGAGGAATATGAGAAGGGTTAAGAAATAATGTTTAGCGATTTTTCCATTTTTTAATTAAATTGCTTATATATTTATTAACTACTATGACAATATAAGAAACAACCATTACAATTAAAAGAAGATGAATACAGAATTATAAATTAATGGATTTACTAATGAAAAATAAAATTAATTAAATTTAAGAACTTAAAGTATAAATAAAAGTATCAAGTTTTATGACTTTCGCAAAAATCTGTACAATATACATTGGCTAGTTATATAGATTACAGATATCGTGTGCGTGTGTGTGTGTGTGTGTGTGTGTGTGTATAATTTTTCAACTATAAAAAAGAGATTACACAAAAAATTTGAAGATTTTAATGACTTGACTACTAATGATAATGCAAATATTATTACTGACGGAAAAAGGAGGAATAAATATTTTGTTATTCCATATATTCCTAGAATATCTGAAAGGATTGGCAAATTTTTAAGGGATGTACCTTTCTTGAGAATGGCATATAGGGGTATTAACAAACTCAGCCGGTTTATTAAAGTACAGAAAGATAGATTACCTCATCATCTTCATAATGATGTGGTATACAGGATTGAATGCAATGATTGTGATTGTTCTTATGTAGGACAAACTGGCAGAAGTTTAATAACTCGTATTAAAGAACATAAAAATCATATTAACAGGAATACTTCTCAACATTCTGTTATAACACAACATCGTTTAGAAACTTTCCATGATTTTAATTGGGATTCGGTACGTATTCTGGATAAGGAGGAATCTTTTAATAAGAGACTTATTTCTGAAATGATTCATATTAATATGCAAAATAATGGTTTAAATCTTAAGAATGATACTCAAAATCTGAACTCTTTATATGCAGAATTGTTTTCATGATTTTTGTTGTTTCTAATCTTTCTGTTTTCCATAATTTTTATATTTATTTTTGTAGTTATTTTTATAATTGATTTAAATTGTTTTAGTATTTTTAATTTGTAATTATATCTGTAGTTTAACGTTTTAATGTTTTTTGTTTTTTCTTTTGACTTTGGATGTAATTTTCCATCACACTGCTCAGAGCTCGGTCATTTTAAAGTTCTTTGTGTAAGGAATAACATCTCTTACATATTATGGTTATACATTCCTATGATATTTCATGTAAGTATTATATTTAATTTGGCACTCTATTTTATGTTCATCTTGATAAAGTCTTTTCATATTTTTTCTGCCCTGCAGTTTACTGAGCAGTTTAATGGAATTTTGCAATAATAATTTTTAATATGTGTATGGACATTTTAATCTTGACAATCATGTGAGTTTAGTTGATTTTATTAATAGTTTGTCTATCTTAAATAATTATAATTTTGTTGTCTTTTATCATGGAAAAAATTTTTTTCTCTTTACAGTTAAACTTTCATTTAGATGAACAAGAATTAATATTTTAATGACATCTTATATATAATCATTGTCTCCAAGATTCATATTGATAAGGACCCGAATATAGGGTCGAAACGTTTATGTATTTAATTAATTTCATATTAAAGAATTTTTGTTACACACGAATTACTTGTGTTGGCTCTTTTATGGCAAATGTTTATATGTTGTGTTGATTTATCACAAGAGCCTATATATATTATATTGTTTTATTTTCAATTTAGAATGTTTTTACAAAAAATAAGAAATTATGAGCGAATTTAAGCTAGCAAAGCGACTAGGTCTGTTTTCCGAGCGAATGAACATGATTGGTTGGCTCCATACGTAAGAACTAATCATGTTCAGTCGCTCGGTGAGCAGACTAACTCATTTATTCATTAAAAAATCGGTATCCTCAAAAAATCCGGGCCCAGGGGAATCACCCGTTACCCCCCTCCCCCCTCTCGTCAGGCCTGTCACTATCTTCCAACTGATTCCAGGAATCGTCGGAATAATCACTATCATTGTAGTCATCGTCGGTAGAATAATTTAAGTTGTAGAAATCTTCATGATGATAAAAATACTAGAAAAGACACAAAATAGTCAATTTAATATCGACATATCTATGACAAAATAATAAGTTTGTTTGCCTTGCTTACACTGCTTATAAATACTTTTACACTTAAAATGAGATAAATATTGTTACGTCCGCGCAACATTTTTCCGCGATCTTGTAGTGTAAAGCCGCCTTTACATGCGAATAATCTAAGAGCCGCGCTGACGAGAGCGTCGTCGCAAGAGAACCTGCCTTAAAATCCCTTCCTATTGCGCAAGTATCCCTTCCTGTTGCGCAACAGGGCCTGAAACGCGTGGGAGTAGGGCGACGGATCCTCAACCCTTTCGGGAAAGCGTCCCTCGCTCTCTCGAATTCCAGCTCTCCAACTGTGCGGTTCGTTCTCCTGGGACCAGGGACACCGCCCGTGACGCTTTTGTGTAAGACCACGTGGGAATTTTCCTATTTTTCAAAATCCATTCTCATATCCTAATTCAAATCCACACCGGGTTCTCTTACGCATTACAATTCAATTAACACTTACTTAAACAAGCTCTAGTTATAAGTGAACTAAATAATTATTTTTCTACTTCTTTATTCGCGTAATTGTAGTACTATTTCTAAGAGAATTTATATCTTTAATCACAATTAGCTTGATAATATAAGATTATCAATATTTCAATAATAAGAATTCAAGTAGTAATAAATGCGATTAGTAATAATTCTATTACCCTTAATTCTAAGATTGAACTTGTAAAATTTCACGGATTTAATTGAATTACGCTGTAAGCATACGTTCTAATTTTTCTTTGTACTTGAACTCAATTAGAATAAAATATACATAATTGTATTTTATGAAATCGGAACAGAACTTGTCTAACGTCCCTGTTATCGCTTCCTCATTTTCTCCCTTCACCTACGAACACGAGGTCTGTGAAGTACTGGCCCAGTATTCAAATCTACCAAGGAAGGATTCAAGCTGTAAGCTCATCGTAATTTGTGAGGACCTACAGGTAAAAGGCAATCATTAAAGTTGAAAGTGAATTCTCAAATTATATTCCAATTGTAACACTAACGCGTCGGCCACGTGGGACGCCGACGCCGCCATATCTGGGCTCGACCGTTACACTCCAACGAATCGCCGCGCGCGTCTACTGCGTCACCGCTCCGGAATCCCGATCCTATTGGTTATCGACGCTGTCGCACTTTTCATAAATTCGTAAAACTTAATATGCAAAGGTGCCATGTGCCCTCCTACGACGCCGCACCGTGAACCAGGCAACGTGTTCGACAACGACTCTTACCGCGCGTGGTTTGACGAAGCCCTCTGTGTGATATCGCAGCTCTATTTACATCGTACTAATCGAACGACACTTTGTAACGATTGCTATAATTCAGAAGAACCACGTGCGCGTTCTGAATATTATCTAGCTCGTCGTCATTGTCTGCAACTCGGTTTGCCCCATCTTTTCGAAAAGTGCGCGAAGTGTTCCTCAATACTTTCCTCTGCGCGACCAATCATAAATTGCAACGCGTGCTCCGAGCTGCGTGGGGATTTCGCATCATTTTTAGTTAGGACCGGTGACCATCCATGGTCTGATGACGGGGCCACAATACTCTTTATTTCTCAATCCCGCGTGTAAAATCATCTAGGAAACTTTCGCAACGCAGTAGAGTGCCGCCGGGCCGTAACAAACTGGTGACAGCGGTGGGATTCCGGTAATTTTATCCCCACACGCCTTATCATGAATACCCGCGCGAAGAAGGGAGACGAAGGCGCGACTGCAAAACTTAATGAAGATGAGTTGGAGGCTTTGCGCCAGGCCCTAGCCAAACAGGAGGAACGTATTAGGAATCAAGGTGCCGCGTTAGAAAGGGAACGCGCCGAAGTCGACAGGGAACGTGAGGTCTTCCACCGAACCCGCGAGGCCGAAAATGCGCGGTTGCGTAACGAGCGAGATGTAATATTACGGGAGCGCGAAGCTCTCAATAAAGAAAAGGAAGATGAAGGAGCGCGCCGCAATAACGACGATGCATTTTCAATCTTGAGGGATGAAGTGAGACGCGAAATGTCTGACCTACGCCGGGCGATTTCCGAACGGAACGACGCCTCGTTTAATTATGAGTTTCCTGCGGGGCAACGTTTCTCGGGAAGTCAGGAGCCTCCCTTGCCGAGCAGCTCCGTAGCCGATTCCGCGCAACCTCCCCCGATATCCCTCCGCGAGGCCACCGACAGTGTGCCGTGGTTCGACGGTTATAACGTGCCGGTCTCGCAGTTCGTCCGTGCTTGTCGACGAGCACGAGAAATGGTACCCCCGCATTACGAGAGACCATTAACGATATTATTAATTAATAAACTTCGTGGACGCGCCTACGGTGCCGTTGAGGATGAATCCTGCGTGACCGTAACGCAATTAATCGACCTCCTTAATGGAGCTTTCGGATCCTCTAAAACGATTCACCAACGGCGAGGGGAACTGAGTACGTGTTATATAAAACCAGGCGAGCACATGCTCGATTATATAAGTCGCGTTAAAGAACTGCGTTCGTCCATCCTGGACGCCGAACGCAGGATGCGTGGGACCGTAAGCGATAGGATAACTGCGGAAATTGACGAATTAACCGCCGCATCATTTTGCGATGGATTACCCTCCCTTTATAGGATTCAAATGAGCCCCAGCTGCTCAGTCCATCCCTTCGAGGCATTTGCGGCCGCCAAAGCCCTTGCGGTAAGAGAGGAATTGGAGCGGCAGAGAAGAGGCCCGCGGCGTGACGACACCGCAAGATCCCGCGTCGCTACAATTCCGCACCCCCCTATACATCGTTCAGAACTTCGCAGGGACGTTACTATACCCCGATACCCAACGGCACCCTTCGTGCGAAATCGCGATACACCACCGAGTACCGCCGCGATCGGAAATAATCCTCGCGTCGCGCCCGCTCTTGAGCGACCTTCCGACGCGTCACCAACGATATGGTGCCGCTATTGTAAAATCTCCGGGCACGAAATTCAAGATTGCCGAAAACGACAATATAATAACGCGCGTCAGGGAAACCCGGCGGGCCCCTCGAGTCGCCCGGACTCGCCTCGGGTGGGGCCGCCTCCAACGCGTCCGGTGCGATCTATTCAGGCAATTCCGGAAGAAGAGCCCGAGTCGGAATCCTCCGAATAAAAGATTTCTCCCACGCCCCAGCCATTAATGTTCGCGCCGAACAATTCAAGGGGGACGTGGCACTTATGATCGATACAGGCGCCGCGCCGAACTTGATAAAACGAAATAAATTAAATCACGACACGCTCATCGATACTCGCGATCTACTGCGTCTTACCGGAATTACCGACGGCCAAGTGGGAACCTTAGGGTCAGTAATAGTTAGCGTCGCCGGACGAGAAATAAAGATGCACGTTGTCGCCGACGATTTCCCGATATCGTGGGACGGCATCTTAGGAGCTGATTCCCTTCATGGTACCGGGACGATCAACTTCACGGAACAAACGGTTCAGTGGGGCGATGTCTCATTCCCTTTCATAGGAAAGAAAACATTTAAAATTCCGGCACGTTCGAATGCCGTTCTCTATGTAAGAGTAACAAATACAGCCGTACAGACCGGTTACATGCCACGCCTTAAACTGCACAACGACGTCCTCTTAGGAGACGCCGTTGTGACGAATCGCGACGGTAAGGCGTACTTACGTGCCTTCAATACGGGAGACCAGGAACTGGAACTCCCAGTTCTCGCAGTTGAATTAGAAGAATTCTCTGACTCACACGGGCCTTTCGATGATTCTGCCCTAGGGCCTGAACCCGCGAAACAGCCCTCGCGCAACTTAGGATGCGTATCACAAAGTCAAGTAGCTGCCGACTCGGTCGGAGACAGAACACAAAAGGTGGAAAGCCTTCTACGCCTAGATCATTTAAATTGTGAAGAGTTAGGGCACGTACGGCGACTGATCGATAAGCATAGCGATGTGTTTCATTTGCCCGCCGATAGCTTAGAGTATACGCGAGTAATGAAGCATGCCATAGTCACCACCGACGAGCGCCCCGTACATATTAAGCAATATAGATTTCCGCCGATCCACAAGGAGGAAATCCAGAGACAAATAAAGCAATTATTAGACGACGATATCGTCAGACCATCGTCGTCACCATACAACTCTCCCTTGTGGATCGTGCCCAAAAAACCCGATTCGAAGGGAAACAAGCGTTGGCGTATGGTAGTGGACTACCGAGCGTTGAACGAAAAGACGATAGGAGACGCCTATCCTCTTCCAAATATTGTAGAAATTCTCGACCAATTGGGTAGCGCAAAATACTTCAGCGTGTTTGACTTAGCGTCGGGTTTCCATCAAATACAGATGGACGAAAATCACGCACAGAAAACCGCTTTCTCCACTCCGCATGGCCACTATGAGTTCAATCGTATGCCATTCGGACTGAAGAATGCGCCCGCTACCTTTCAGAGATTGATGGATCTTGTACTCTCCGGGCTGCAAGGGGCCGAACTATTTGTATACCTTGATGATATTGTAATTTACGCGAGCTCCCTTCGCGAGCATCAAATAAAATTTGAAAAATTAGCGGTGCGCCTGCGAAATGCGAATTTGAAATTACAGCCAGACAAGTGCGAGTTCCTTCGCAAGGAAGTAACCTATCTCGGGCATGTAATTGGAGAGGACGGAGTCAAACCCGATCCAAAGAAGGTGGAGTCGGTGGAGAGGTTCCCGCGACCCATTAATGCAAAAAATGTCAAACAATTTCTGGGCTTGGCGGGATACTACCGTAGGTTTATCTTGAACTTCTCGAGAATCGCTAAACCTCTCACGAACCTCCTGAAAAAGGATATCGCATTCGTCTGGTCCGATGAACAAGAAAATGCTTTTAATAAATTACGATTAGCGTTGTGTTCAGAACCCCTACTCCAATACCCAGACTTCACTAAACCTTTTGTTGTAACGACAGACGCCTCCAACGTGGCGGTCGGTGGCATACTTAGTCAGGGACCGATAGGAAAAGACCTACCAGTGTCGTACGTGTCAAGATTGTTAAATAACGCCGAGCAAAACTACTCAACCACCGAAAGAGAGTTGCTCGCTATCGTTTACTGCGTGAACCATTTTAGGCCGTACCTTTATGGGCGAAAATTTCAATTAGTCACAGACCACAAGCCTCTTATGTGGCTGCACTCAGTAAAAGACCCGACGTCTCGGCTCGTGAGATGGCGGTTAAAATTGGCAGAGTACGACTACCAGGTGGTCTACAAAGCAGGGAGCATGAACGTAAACGCAGACGCTCTTTCAAGAAACCCTATCCCGACATCAATACTCCCGCTACACAGAACACCTATCCAACCCGAAGCACAATTTCCCGTCAACGGACAGAGCGAATACTCGGATGTAAATCTCGACGATGAAACAGACTTGACTGATCCCGACGACAGTGACAGTGATACAGGTGAACCGCACGAGGGCATCCACAACGAGACTCACCTCCCAACCCGAGCTAAAATTTTCGAGATCCGCGATAACATTAATACGCGTAATGATAACGTCGTAGTAATCGTCACTCTCGATGGCGAACCTTGCGATACTGGGGCGCGTCTAATGCAAGATCAAAACGAATTGCCCAGCCTAGAAGCCGCGATAGCAGGGCGCGCTTTAATCCGTAAAACGGGAAAGAAATATATAATATCACTGGTAATGGGGGATCACGTCTCTGAGAAGGCACAGGTAGAATGCCTGAGGGAAGCCGTAGCATGCCTCCGCGAGGTCACACGCGAATTACAACTTGATACAGTCTCGATTTCTAAGAGCACCGTGCTCCGCTTGCCGTGGGACGTTGTGCATTCTCTGTTGGCTAGAGAATTCCGCGACTCCGACGTCCGAATTACGGTTTGTTCTAATGAAATCATCGTACCGTCGGAGGAAGACCGACAGAAAATTATCTCTGAGCACCATGCCACGACGCTTGGCGGACACAAGGGAATAACAAAAACAGCGAACAAAATTAAAAATCGGTACTCGTGGCCTGGACTGAAGGAAGATGTTCAAAAATACATCCATAATTGCAAAGAATGCCAAATAAATAAACTAGTAAGACTAAAGACGCGACAGCCTATGATACTGACAGATACTCCCGGAACAGCCTTCGAGAAGGTGTCAATGGACATTATGGGCCCTCTGCCTACGACAAGAGACGGACATAATTATATCCTTACAATACAAGACCTCCTGACAAAATATTCCTTGGCAATCCCTTTGACGCGAATGACTGCCACCCAAGTAGCCGACGCGTTCGTGACGGATTTTATATGTGTTTTCGGTGCTCCAAAGGTCGTCCTGACCGACCAGGGGACAAATTTCACTAGTTCTCTTATGAAATGTGTAGCTAGGAGATTCCGAATTGAACAATGTCGCACCACTGCCTATAGACCGCAGTCGAACGGGTCGATAGAGAGGTCACATCACGTACTCTGGGAGTATTTGAGACAATTTGTAAAGAGAGATAATTGGAATGAATTTTTGAAACTTGCATCGTTTTCTTATAATACAAGCATCCACGAAGGTACGCGCTTCACCCCGCACGAACTGGTATTTGGTAAGATAGCCGAACTTCCTTCGAGCGAACCACCCCTTGGTAATATTGCAAACGAAACATACCAGCAATATCTCACCGATCTGTTCGATAAGCTTAAGTATACGCAAACCATTGCTCAAGAAAATCTGTTACAAGCGAAACACAGGTCTAAACGATATTACGATCGTAAGGCGAGACCGCGAGACTTCAAGGTGGGTGACAATGTTTACTTATTAAAAGAACCCACAAAAGGAAAATTAGATAGCCAATACGTGGGCCCATTTGATATAATAGATATTTTAGGGAATAACAATGTTAGATTAAGAACGGGACGAAATAGAACACGCGTCGTCCATACTGATAAGTTAAAATTAAGTAATAAGGGAACTGACGTAACAACGGAGGTTTCCTTACAGGAACCGGCGGAGGAACCGGTGGAGGTCACTGCGGGACCTTCCTCTGGACATACGTAAAAGTGCAAGGGACAAAAGGAACGATCATGCGAGCGTTGGAACTATCCTCTATACTCATTCTTGTGTTGTGGACGCGAGTGCTAGTGAGTGGATTCACGGGCTATGATTGCGGAACCAAGGGCCTGAACATCACCACCCTCTCACTACTCGATATCGGAGACTGCGACATCGACAACATTGAACCAAATCAAGAGGAGATATACCTGCAACTGCTCCAGACATCGGACTATGACAAGACGCGGGCCCTCCAATGCAAGCTCGAGATCGACAGAATCATATACCACTGCGGGATGCACTCGCATGTGTCAGTCGTTAGCGGTGGTCGGAAGGAGTATATGAAGGAGTTAGGAGCCGACGCCTGCCGGAGATTATACGACACGGGTTCCGTCGTACTGTCGTCGACGATCATCGACCGAATCCAGAAGAACGCGACTAATTGGCGTAGCGTCACATTAGCCGGGACGACAGGCGTGGACGGAAGGTGCCACGGCGCAGCGTATTCAGACAGCTACGGAGAATGGGACAACGTGGTCGTCCAAGCATCAGTCAAAATCATAACAAGGGAATTCGAAGCAACTGTCAAAAGGTCCACGGGCGAAGTTATCTTACCCTCAGGAACTCGCTGTACAATCACGGAAAGGATGTGTTTCGACTTCGACGGAACGGAGACGTATTGGCGAGCCATCCCCGACGACCACTGTCGCCTCGACCAGTACGACGTCCTCTACGAAGGGACAGCCAACAAACTGTCTCCCAAATTTAACCTAACGTCACCGGTGATTTATACCGTGACCGCGAAGGACACGACCTTCGCTCTTACAAAGGCGGGAGAAATGAACCTTTGCGGATACCGCCTCCTGCGCACCGAGCACCCGAAGTTGCTCATCCTTGAGATCCACCCGTCCCGCACATTCAAATCAAAATCAAAGGTGTCCGTCAATAACCTGGATATTTTCACATATGTAAATTCAAAGTTTATATATGTAGAGAGACACATTGGGACACAACTTACCCGACTTTACCGCGACGTCATGGAACAAAAGTGCGCCTTGGAACAACAAATCCTCCGCAACGCCCTTGCATTGGCAAGCATTGCCCCGGACGAAATGGCTCACCAGATCA